GTACTAAGAGTAATACAGTAGTGTTGTAGGTGAACATTTATCAGGGATATGTGCTCAATTTTTTCCAGATTGACAATGCTACTAGAAATTTCAATCTGCCACACCTAGGAAGAGCCCAATCCCAGTATGTCCTGGCTTATGGCCAAATGGAAAATTCCTGGTAGAACATGCCACTGCCCTCAAAAGGCACAGTGACAGGAACACACTTAAACCCCAGAGATCTTAAGGTAAGAAGAACTGTTAATCTAAATCCTCAAGTTAATGAACCAAAATCATAATTTGGGCTGTCTTAAAACAGATTCTTTCACCTCCTGCCATTTACTCCTCAAAGAGTCTCAGCTCCCTAAACCCAGTAACTACTCAGTGATTACGGAAGGCAAAGATGTTTGCATCTTATGCCAGGAACATTCAGTAAGTGGTAGCAATTACCACAGAGCATGGCCACATTAGAGCTTCCCTAGACAATCCCTAGATGATGAAGGGGTCCTGTCTCCAGCTTCTAAGCCTCCTTCCCCTCCCCTGTAATTGCTTCAGCTTAGGTCCCCATACTGCATGCTCCCATAACACCCACCCTGTTCTTCCCCATCATAGCACTATGGCAATATTTCTGAAATTGCCTTAATTTGTACGCATCCTCTATTAGCCTATAAGTTCTATGGGAGGAGGCACTGCGCCTGTCACATTCACCATTGTGTCCCTAGCACCTAGAAGGCATTAAATATTTGTTGAAAGTTGATGAAAAGGAATTGGAGGCCCTTAGTATCCCACCGTCACACCCTCAACTCTGCGGAGGAGAAAAGAAGTACAGTAGAAGGGTACAGGGGGAACAGAAAATAGAAAGTCCCACTAACATTCTTCTAGATCCAAATTCAACAGAAATAGTCTTTAGCCTTTTCAAAAGAGCACCACTGTCAACGATTTACTGTTTATTCAAGGCTCTCCTTCTCTGCCCTTTCCAGTCTGGGCCCAGACCTTCCCCTCAAGTGCCAGCCTCATTCCTCCTCAGAAACCATCATTCTTTTTCCTAAAAAGAGCAGCATAGCTGAGGACCACCATGGAAAGTTCTATGAGGAAAAAAGAATACATACAACCTACAATAGCTACACCAAAGAATCTCTCATCTCAGACCATCTCTTCTTCCTACATACAAAGGGATGCAAAGACTAAGGAAAACAACGTCTCTTCCTCTTAAGCCACAGGTAATTCTCATGCCAGATGCACCAAAGGTTTCTGCTGCTCACGAGGCCGTGAGACACCACGGGACAGTGCTCAGAAGCTAAAAGGCTATCTCCTAGCTTGTCAACCAGACTGCTGTGCTCTTTGGGGACTGGAGAGATTAATTGGTGTGGGAATGGGGCAGAGAAAGAAGCAACAATAAAAGGGGGAGGACAAAGAAAGTGGATGGGGAAAGAAGCAAACTAAAAGGGTTTCGTTGGTGCAAAATATTCAGCTTTTCCCTGCTGATAAATGCAAGACAACACAGCTTGCTCAGGAGCCAGAGTTCATGCCTGCACCTTTGCTTTTGTTTACACACAGCCATCAAGACCGACATCTTCGGTCACTTAGATTTAAGCACGTGTCCTCTTTCCTGTCTCCCTCTTCTGCTTTTTGCTCACGCTCTCAGCCTTGTTTCTGGTAGTTGCTGAACACGGAGGGAGCTGAGTACTCCCAACTCTTGGCCGCTGAGCAACTCCTCTTACTCCCACTAGCCAATGTATAATTAAGGAACACAAACCAGGATGAGCATTAGCATTGGGCCACAATTAGACAATTTATCAGGCATTGAAATGTAAAACAGACTTCTACATTGTCTGTGCTGCTGAGATTCTCTGTGTTGCTGCTCTAGCATAAGAGGCAGCAGGACATTAAGGAACTATGAGTCAGAAAACATGAAATATTCCATCGCATGCTACCTGGTATAAGACGTCAGGCAAGTCATTTAAACCCTGTAGCCTGCTGAGAGAGAGACAGACACAGAGAAAGAGTGAGTGCACTAAAATTAAGTCCCACCTGCCTTTGCAGTTGTATAAATCTAGAATAACAAAACCATGTTAGTGTCAGAAATGTTATCAATCCCAAGTTCCGTAAGCTATGATAAAAAAAAATTCTGTCAATCTATACCAAAGATGCTATCAGTCCACAGAAAATGAAGGAGAAGGGTCATACTCCAGGCATGAATCTCCTCATTCTTATTTCACTTTGGTTTCCAACCAGCAGAATCCAAGCACCAGGTGAGTTTCTTTATTGCTTTTATTAGTCTGCAGGGGCCTCCCATAGGTGACAAAATTATGCTAGGCGGTCACGCACCTCAGTGTGGTGTTCTGTGACCAGGCTGGCTTTTTATAGCATCAGCTCATTGGGGCACCTGAATATTGATGCTCCTTTCTCTGCCTGCCCAACTAAACAGCTCAGCATCATCCTTGTCTGGGTAAAGACTCCTGCGTCTTAGCTATTCTGTGTTTCCTTTTCTTATCCCTTTGTTCTTTTCATACACGAGGAGGTCATTGTTGACATTGGGAGCTAAAAATTACTAATGAAGAGGCTGTCCTTTCTCTGCCTGCCCAACTAAACAGCTCAGCATCATCCTTGTCTGGGTAAAGACTCCTGTGTCTTAGCTATTCTGTGTTTCCTTTTCTTATCCCTTTGTTCTTTTCATACACAAGGAGGTCATTGTTGACATTGGGAGCTAAAAATTACTAATGAAGAGGCTGTTTCCAACAGCCTGCCTCTCCAGCTCCAGAACAAGCCCTTGTTTACATTAAAACAAGTCAGAATACACATTTGTGATATAAGGAAGCAGGAGAATGATACTGGACAGCTGTGCCAGTGGTAGGAGTCCTGGGATATAGGCATGGCTGGTGTCTGTAGCAAGAGAGGCACCTGCTATCAGAAGGGGTGGCTTTCACGTATAGGTCTGAAACTAGGACTAGGAAAGAATCCAACAACATTAATTATGCCTATAACATTTGATATCAGATATTGAGAGAAAAGTAGAATATATGTTGCTCTTTGGGAATGAAAGCTTTCTGGGAATCAAAAAGTAAACAATAGCAGCTATGGGAAAGGATTAGGAAAATTAGAAAGTTGGAGGAAAGTCTGGAATGTGGTGTTAAAAGCTTCCCAGGTTCCAGCTTAGTTGGACTCCTGAATTCTACTTTGTGAGAGAAACAATCGACCAAAGGAATCCAGATCAGCATAGGAAGGGAAACAGAAAGATCCTGCTTAAATTCTGATGGGTGTTTGTAAAGTAAATGCATAATCTCAGTGAAAACATAATTAGGAACAGACTCTTTTAAGGTCAATATAGCTATAAAAGTGACTGAGTAAAGAAATTTAGCTGGCAAGAAGGAGGCAGTCATTAGATACTAGCTAGAAGGCAGAGACTGCGCCACACAAAAGCAGCTAAGCATTGCCACCTTCATCAGGTCTCTATCTGCGATCAAGAAGTGAATGCTTGAAATGGGCAGTGGTCACAGTTAGGCACCAAGCCAAGGGTTGAGATCCCCTTACCGGTCATCTTTAAAAAAAAAAAAAAAAGAAGTGAATGCTTGAAATGGGCAGTGGTCACAGTTAGGCGTGCCGTAGTAACCTCTGCAGGTATAATAATACTTTGCACTCCACAGGCACACATATTCTGGAAAATATCTTCAGACACAAGGGCTCTATTTTAATCCGAGGCAACTAATTTATTGAACACATATTATAAACTTGGGAACTGTACACACATATTATTTAATCCCAGTGACTCTATGGGCTGGGTATTATCAACATTATTTTCAAAGAGAAAAAGCCTCAGGGAGACTGAGTTGACTATTCAGTGCTATTCATCTAGTAAACGGTAGAGCTTTGAACTCAAAGTCTATGAGATAGGAAACTAAATTCTAGAAGTAAAGAGACCATGTAGGGAAGGTCCCTTAGGTTACAAAGAAAATAACACATGGGCAATATACAGATATCTATGTCAAAACCTCTCTCTCTCTCTTTTTTTTAACCCTAAAGAATCTAGATTCCAAGTCACTAGGTTATAATACAGCATTGGCTGGGGTCAAAACCTCTTCTTAGACTGGGTGAGAAATATGACGTGGCCTCTGAGTGAGGTTCGCAAATGGGAGACTGGAAGTGGCTGACAGCCTCTGAAGGACAGGGTCTCTGCTCCATCCCATGCTGCTCAGCCACGGGCTGCCTGACATACAAGGCCACGCAAAAATCTGCTGCAGAGATGCTAAAACCAGGCAAAAGTGAGAAAGCAACTTTCCTTTTGTTCTCTCTACATTTTGATGAGGCGAAATTTCATAATATCATGGCACACTGGGCAATTGGGTGGAGCCAGGCAAGCATGACGCTGAATTTTTCATTCTCTTTTAAGAATAGACTAAGAACAACTATATTAAAAGTGCGCCAGGCAGGGTTGAAAAAAAACCACCTATAATTCCCTGACAGAGAACAGTGAGTGACCCAAAGATACGTGGATACAACTACATACATCATGATTTACCATCCCATTTCTAACAGTATACAATAGAGAAGTGACAGAGAAGCTCAACTGGGTAGATGGACTTATTCACTTTTCTGTACCCTTCCCCTGTCCCTCCCCCATTACACTGTAACACCAGTGTGGGGAGACATATCTTAAACTCTTTTGTAATCAAAGACTGATACAGAATAAGGGACTTGATCATTTACTGATAAAAGCATTTATACCATAAATATCTGTAAGATAAATATCCTCCTTTCTGTATATTGATACAGAAGGAGGAGGAGAGAATGATCTTCAGAGAATGATCTTCAGAGAATCACAGTTCCTAAACACAATCTCTGGGAAAGAAATAGCTCTTCGTAGCCTCACCTCCTTTCAGTGCTTCAGACGTCACACTTTTCCCACTAGACAAAAATACACCAATTGGGTCTCCAGAAATGTGCCTTCTCTAGGAGCTGGGAAAACAATATCTGGAAATACTTGTCACCTTTCTCCAATTTCCCACCCCTGATATGGCCTTTACCTTCCACAGGGGAGGTTTTCAGTCTACTGCAGAGATTATGTACACCTCCATAGCGGACATTGATCTCGGTCAGGGCATCACTCGAACGCAGCTCCATGAGCTTCCTCAGTTCCATTACTGTGCAGCCAAAATCCCCTTCACGGCTCTCGGCCATCGAGTTGGCGGGCAAGGAATGTTCTGATGGGTTCGTCATTTTGCCTGCTGTTACCAAGACCCTCAACCAGAGAGGATTTGGAGTTTCCTTTCAACTGGTCAGCGTCTCCTGCTTTCCTGTTCCCACTTTTTCCTACTTCTTGTTTCTCTGGGGGCCCAGTTTTAGGAAATAGATCAACTATATTTCGTGCAATAAGCTTCAGAGTAGCAATCCCAAGCCTAGATTCTTTCTTCTGTATGACGCGTGGTAGTGAGAGGAGGAAGAGGATGGGGGAACGGAATGGAAGCCGGACTTCGTGTCACGATGATTGGGGTCCCCAGGTGGTGATGGAAGTGGTTGTCCAGGGTAGGTAGGTTCCTAGCTTAGACCGACTTGCCCAGATGAAGGTGTAAACAGGATGTGCATGTTACCATGGAGGCAACCTTAGCAACAACCAGCAACTGGGGTAGTAGAGAGGCTGCAGAAGGAGGAGGAGGAAGAGGAAGGCTCCCTGGATACCGATGACACTGGGCCTCTAGAATAAAAATTCAAAAATAGACAAAAAGAAACAATTAGAGCAGCCATGGGGATCCAGCATCTGCAGGGGCAACAGATACCCATTTTAGCACAAGTGTTTAGGTGACAGTTGACGTTTGAGCTAAACTGATGGCTCCAGCCTGAGTTGAGTGGACTAACTCAGGAGAGCCTTTTCCTTCCCAGGAGGCCCCAGCAGCCTGTAAACTCCAATGTAGAGAAGCAATTTCAGATACACCCCAGTCTTTGTGTCTCACTTCTCCCAAACCAAGCAACGCAAATCCCACAACTTCAGAAACTTGGAAATAAAAGGTTACAACCTCTTAATGACTCTAGTACTCTCCCTGTCTATGAGGGACCTTCAAAAAGTTCATGAAAAGGTTCATATTATCTTCAATTCTATTTTTCTGTGAACTTTTTGAATAACCCTTGTATTTGAGGAACCCGTTACAGGATCCTTTAGCCTGACCTTACCTGTAAGGGTGAAAAGAGGTCAGAAAAAGGATTCCAGACCCAAGTGATCTGGAGGTAGCCTGCCAGTCTGCTACCCTCTTCCACACCCAGTACTCTTCCCTACTCCCAACACACACATTTACAAACCAGGAAGATAACATGAGAGAAGATGCCCAATCCTCCAAGGACCCATGGAATACTCAGCTTCCAGCTCTATGTTAACTCTGCAGCCTGCTGCAGTTATCAATGGGTCAGGCATCAAGTTTCGATTTGGGGGCTAAGCCCCATCCCCCTCCAAGAGGCTTTTAGGAGAAAGAGATAAGCAAAATGCTCTGGCAGTTGGTGATACAGAGCGGAATTTTTATTTTTTTAAAAAAGAGGACAGAAGGACTTCTGAGGAGGAAAGATAGTGAGTTCGAGGCCTGAGCGTTAAAGTTTCTTCAGGGTGGGTAGGGTAAGACGGCTATCAGTTCAGATAGAGCACAGGGCTGCGACAAGGTCAGCAGGGGAGACAAGTTAGCCTGTGTGTGAGTGAGTACCAGAAAGCCGCAAATTAACTCAACAAATACATCATAGAGAGGCAAGTATTCTTCCCTTTGGAAAGACTAGTGTTCTCTCTCACACACACTGACTATGGGGTGGGGGCGGAACTATGTGTAGGTGAGGACGCAGGGGGCTGAAGGTGGGAAGAATACTTATTCTGAGTCCTGTTCTCAGCTTCAGAGAGGAGGTGCTGTGTGTCACGTGGGAGCCATTGCCACACATCAGCCATTTAAATAGCAGGGGGCTGAAGGTGGGAAGAATACTTATTCTGAGTCCTGTTCTCAGCTTCAGAGAGGAGCTGCTGTGTGTCACGTGGGAGCCATTGCCACACATCAGCCATTTAAATATAAAGGGTCTCTTCCAGAGCACAGCCCCAGAACACGGGGGACCCTGTCCTGGTGAAATAGCCTCTACTGACTTGAGTTTAGTTACGAAGCGGTGGCAAGGGGCTCTGGTCAGCCTCTCTCTAATAAACAGAAGACCTCCTCACTTCTAGACGGTGAACAAAGAAGCACAAGAACCATCACATAAGGACTTGACTCTTCTGTCAATTACTGCACCCCCAAGTCACAAGTGGCCAAAGTTCCTGCTGATTCCAATCAATCCAATTTCCCGCAGGTTCCACTGGAATAGAGTTTGGACACCCCCGCTTCCTGCAAAGTGCCCTCTGCCGTCTCCTCCTAACATAGATTTTCTAGTACTGCTCTGACTTACAAAGAGTTAAGAGCTGTCCAGTTAGCTCAGTTGGTTACAGCGTGGTGTTATAACCCCAAGGTCAAGGGTTTGGATCTCAGTACTGGCCAGCTGCTGGAAAAAAAAAGATTTCAACAAGCAGGGTTTTGTTTGTTTTTAAACATCACACTTCCTTTCTTTGTAGATGTCATCAGGGAATCCTGGGGAACAAGGAAGTCTGAAAAAAACCAGGGCGGTGTGTCAAACTCCCTTCATTCAGACTGGCAGAGGAATAGTCAGTACTTTCCTTTTTCATAGGACTTTTTCTCCAGTTCAGCTTCTCCTCCAACCCTGGAAGGAGTGGGAGGGGCTACAGCAGCAAGAAACCCACCTTGACCCTTAAGTAGGACTCCTTGACCTTTCAGAGTACTTTCCTTTTTCATAGGACTTTTTCTCCAGTTCAGCTTCTCCTCCAACCCTGGAAGGACTGGGAGGGGCTACAGCAGCAAGAAACCCACCTTGACCCTTAAGTAGGACTCCTTGACCTTTCAGGAGGATGCTGGGGACGATGCTGATAGAGAGTTAAACTGGGAATTGGAAGATTTTACTTTTTCTGTCTCTACCCACTGCAATACTTGCTTCATGAAGACAGGGATTTTTAGCTGTCAGGTTCACTACTTTATCCCCAGTGCCTAGAAGAGAACCTGTACATGGTGGGTATTAATATTCTTTTGTTGAATGACCAGTAGCAGATTCAGAACCACATATACCATCTTCCTAGGCACCCTTTGGGCAAGTCACTTGGCCTTCTTAGGACTCAGTTCCTCTCCCCTTTAACTGGGGGAAGAATCAGCCCTACCTTTTCACACCATACTAAGAAAGTGACAAAAGAATAGGATTATATATAGAATTGGTGCTTGGAAATCTTAGATGAAAGGTGTCCGGTGCCCAGTGTAGGACACTCTAGTGATGAGAGAAAGCTTAATTGGATCGTAATGAACTTTTGTTACCTTACCCTTTAAGCAGAAGGGCAAGAAGCTCCAAGTGCTCCTCCATTCTTCCATGCCAGGGAACTCCCACCCCATCCCCAAAGGAAAGTTCCTAGGCAGCTTCATGAACAATAACCATTAGCTAGTTATAACCACTGGCAATAACCACTAGCTTATAGGGTCTTGGGTCTCTAGAGAATAAAAGGGACAGCGTGAGTCACAATTCCTTACCCTGAACCTCTCCTCAGGGTACCAAAGAGAAGAGATTCTTCCACTCGCACAGGCAAGGGATGGAAAAGGTCACCTAAGATCAGAACACATGGGCTAAAGGACACATATGGGAAAGAATGAGGAGGTTTGTCTGCTTCGGGTTGATCTAGAGATACACACGCAGTAGACCAAGCACTAAGCAGCTGGCATGAAGTCAAAGGGGCAGTGCGTAGCTGGGGCCCCGGGTTTAAGGCAGGATCTCTATAAAAGTTCTGTAATGAGGAGGCATGTCAGGGTGACCAACCTTCTCTCTGAGTTCTGAGCTCCCTAGAATATGAGCTCTCTGCAAATGCTGAGCTTGCCTGGCCCCTCACCTTATTAGGCAACTGCCAAAGAATAATCTGTGAGTGCTCACACCGCCTCAGCCTCAGGCGCAATGCTCAGGGCCTGGGAGGAAATACTTCTTGTCAGGTCAGGATTAGTCATTTGGCTCAGGGCCTTCTGGGTAAAATATGTTCTCACTCCCTGTTTCTAGCATTGTGTCAGCCTAAAGGAGGATAGGACTGAATAGGGCTCATCCCTTCCTCCTGGGGTGAGAAATCCTATTACTTTAAATGATCACTAAGTCACTTAAATTTGTTCCTCCTAATGCCCCATAACAGCTGCTCTACAATTGGTAGATACGTGGAAGTACTCTCACTGATTCCAGGTAGGACAGCTGTGACCCCCACTTTGTGGAGGAAGACACTGAGGTCTAAGGAGATAAAAAGTGATTTGTCTTTGGCAAGTAAGGGGCCTTGACTGCCGGGTGCTATTTTATTACACTTTACTCCTTTTTACTGGAGCTTTCATTTTATGACAAACATCTAAGAGGTTCTTTAAAGTGCAGGCAGATCTGGGGTACAGAGAATACCCATTTCCATTGGGAGGAAATGCTGCCTTTTCCCTTTCTCTGTTTCAGAACCAACTACATCACATCCCAGGCAATGAGGGCAAAGCCGCTGCTTCCCCACATATCTGAGAAGCAAGCAACCCCACACGTCCTGATAACCCAACCTGCAGCTAGGCTCACTAGCAAGTTCCAGAAATCCCAGGCAATGAGGGCAAAGCCGCTGCTTCCCCACATATCTGAGAAGCAAGCAACCCCACACATCCTGATAACCCAACCTGCAGCTAGGCTCACGAGCAAGTTCCAGAAACACTAGCAAGTTCCAGAAATGAGGAGTTTCCAGAGACAAGAACCTTATGCCCTAAACAATCAAACCACAAACAACAGTCAGACATTCTATGTCCTCCAATTTTGTCCAAGGAATCCCTTACTCTTAGAAGCTTTCCCAGGGTACTAAAGTAGAGACACCTCCCCAGACTGTGAGGAAAAAGGGACACTCTGTGTGTAGGTTATAGAGCAGGGTATATTTGAAGATGTGAAAGGAACCACCCCGTGAATCTCCCATCAAAGGCTCCTATTGACTCTGGTGCGATGCAGAGGAAACGAAGTATGTGTGGAAATGGGGGAAAGGACACAGGAGGGGCCTGGGGCTGGGGCTTTGGGCTGGGGCAGCCCTGCAGACAGACCTGCCTGGGACAGAAACTGGCTGCATCCAACTCTGGCCCGGGGCCACAGGCAGGGGCTGCTCAGAGAGCAGACTCTCCTTCCCTGACCTGTCCTCTGCCCTGGGTGGAGGGCCTCTGCTCAGCAGCAAGTCGGTGGCACTTGGAGACACGTGGTGGGAGCACAAGAATCACTGCCGGGCAGGGTATGAGGGGTAAAGAGGGGAAGATCCCGGGTACAGGGAAGCAGGCTGGGCCCACCTTAGGGGCCCCTCAAACACCTGCTGTTTTTTCTCTGACCCAGAGTCTCCCTCGTCCCAAGTGAGGTTCTACTTCTTTCTCTATTCAGGAGCAGGGGTGGGGGACAGTGAGAGGTGGGAAGGAAGGGAAATAATATCGTTAAGCACCTACAATGTGCTGGGCACCTTACTAGGCACTTTATGTGAAAATTAGAGAGAAATAATATATAGGAGGATACTTCAAAGAGTTCATGGAAAGATTTATATTATCTTTTAATTCCATTTTTCCATGAACTTTTTGAAGTACACTAGTGTATGTACACACACACACACACACACACACA